CCCCAAAACCCCAAAACCCCAAAACCCCGGGGTATAAATGGGTAGTGGGATTGTGAGTAAATATATATTTGGGAATGAATATGAATACACTGAAAGATGAGATATGGAATGATTCTTGCTGAACTGTTAGTGATGATTGCATTGAGTCTCCAGACAAAAATTGTGTTTATAGAAGAGAAGGGGGATATTAATATTTGAGAGTTCACTCATTATTTATTATCTAAAAAATTATTTTACCTCTTTTTAGTTATAAATGGGATAATAAAGCAAGTATGCTTGAGAAAAACAAAAGCAAAACAATCTATCGGCCTTGAGTTGTTACAATTAAAGATGATTTCCAATTTTTCAGCTCGAGCCTCTCACACGACAATCAGATACACAAAACGAAAAGTCTTGAAACCAAAGATCTCAAGCAAACAACATCCATTACATCTCCAGGTCGTAAGACAGGAAGGTTTTACTTGGAATCTTCGAAAATGCTAAAAGTGCCAATAGCTAAAGAAGCTACATATTCTGCTTCCGAAAGCAAAGGTGAAAGCCCTACAAACTGGAAGGAAAGATGAAGAATTGGACAAATGAGATCCTCAGTTCGGATCCTCAAAAACCTCAAGTCTGAATAAAATAATCAGCTTCCAACTAATTAAGCAATAATATTTTTCAAAAAAATTCATGAATACTCTTTCTTGCTAAAGTTCTCATTCAGATAAACGAATCTAAATTTAGCTTATTTTTAAATAAATTTGGTTGTTTTCTTATTCAAATTAGGAGAAAACATTAGCTGTGGTAGATTTTCTTCATCTTTTACTTTGATATAGTAAGCAGTAGAGGCCCTAGCAAGTAGTTGAACCCTTCAGCTTGGCCCACCAGAATTTGAGGAACAATTTATTTCATTACTTTTCACCGGAATAAGAAAATGACCATAAATAATAGTATAACTTATGTATTTCTGCAATGCTTTTAATTTTCTTACCTAGTAAATTACGAATTTATGAATGTAATAAAGCGTAGAGGGCCTCTAAACACCATCTTTACAAACCTCCCCATTTATAATCAAGCCATAATGTGTCTTAATTTAAAGGCGCTCCTCCTGTTTCACTAAAGAAAGGGTAAAAAGTTATCCATTTCTACATATTTTAGACAAAAAATATCTTCCAAATTTGGAAAACTCCCTGGGGTTTTGGGGTTTTGGGGTTTTGGGG